ACAGGGCAAGATACAGTCCCTTATCCCTAAGCAATTCATAGTCTAGGTCAAAAGGGTCAGTGTGTATAGCTAAAACAACTGGCATCTTGTTCTAAAATTCACCAACCACATAATCTCACTGGACCCTCACTGGACCCTCATCAATAACCCCAGGAGAAACCTAAAACATGTTTTAGGTTTTTACAAATGAGGAGACTGAGGTTTAGAAAGGTAATTTATTCAAGGTTATGTGACTGTTAAGTAATTAGAGTAGCCAGATCCAGAGAAGTGAGAGCCTGCCATCTTCTTATTGCATACCAGATATACCATGAAAGTATTACTTATCCTGTAATCTGTTTAGAAGATACCCCAGGAACTGGAGATAGCTTTTCAGGCAAATAAGGAAATGACTGCTTTCGTGAACATGAAACAGATTTTAGAAAGGTTTAGTTGGATTCACAACTATGAGCCATAATGGATTATTGAGGGGGAAATTAAAAGAATGTGCAGGGCCCATCACTAACCTTAAGTTACATGAAAATTACATGAAGGCCACTCTGATTCCTCTCATTCGGTCAACCTTGCCTGGCCACCATGGAAGTACTTTCTGCTGACGATCCACTACTGTCTCCTGCTGCCTCAGCTCTGGGGGAAGGGGCATGGTGCCTTGCCTGTAAGAGTTCCAAACACTGTGAGACTAATACTTACAATCCTGTATAGAAAATGCAGAGAAATGTAAAAAGTGGTGCAGCAGTTCTGCAGAAGGAAGGATCTACTCTTCTGGACAGTCAAGGAAAGCTTCTCAGATATTTGGACTAGAACAGTGCAAAGCCCAGAGGTATAAAATAACATGACTGGAGTGCACAGAGAACTAGTGTTTAAACATCCATTGAGGGCACCTGGGTGGCTCAGTGGGTTAAAGCCTCTGCCTTCAGCTCAGGTCATAATCCCAGCGTCCTGGGATTGAGCCCCGCATCGGGCTCTCTGCTCCGCAGGGAGTTTGCTTCCCTCTCTCTCTGCCTGCCTCTCTGCCTACTTGTGATTTCTCTGTCAAATAAATAAATAAAATATTTATAAAAAATAAATTAATTAAATAAAATTAAATAAAAAATAAATAAAATATATTTATATTTTTATTATATATAAATATATATATTTATATAAATAAATAAAAATAAATAAATAAATAAAATAAACATCCATGGAATAAAGGGAGACTGAAAAACCCACAGCTAATCCTATTTATCATGACCAACTAAGACCTTTCCCCCAAAGATTAGAAATAAGACAAAATTCTCTCACCATTTCTGTTCAACACCGTACTGGAGATTCTAGTCAGGAAAATGAGGCAAGAAAACGGGAAAAAAAAATATGGCGCCTGGGTGGCTCAGTTGGCTAAGTGTCTGCCTTCGGCTAAGTTCATGATCTCAGGGTCCTGAGATCGAGCCACATATCAGGCTACCTGCTCAGCGGTGAGACTGCTTCTCCCTCTCCTTCTGTTGCTCCCCCTTCTTGTGCTCTCTCACTCATGCTCTCTCTCAAATAAATATTAAAAACAAAAAAAACCTTTTAGGAGAAAACCTAGGCATAAATCTTCACGACTTTCATGCTTCAAAGGATACTATCAAGAAAGTGAAAAATCAACCTACAAAATGGAAGAAAATATTTACAAATTCATATATAGAAGGGTCTAGTATTCAGCATAAAGAACTCTTACAATTCATCAATAAAAAGACAAATAAGCCAATTAAAAAGTGGGCAAAGAATCCAGACAGACATTTCTTCAAAGAAGATATACAAATGGCTAGTAAGCATGTGAAAACATGCTCAACATCATTAGTCATTAGGGAAATGCAAATAAAAAACATAAGATACCATATCCACTAGGATAGCTGTAATCAAAAAGATGGACAGTAATGAGTTTGATGAGGATGTGGAGAAACTGGAACCCTCATACGCTGCTGGTAGAAACATCAAATGATGCAGCTGCTTTCGAAAATAGCCCAGCAGTTCCTCAAAAGGTTAAATGTGGCTTATTACCTGATAACCTAGCAATTCCACTCCTAGGTATACACCTAAGAAAAATGAAAAGGTATGTTCACAGAAAATTGTGAATTGTAGCAGCACTGTCCCTAACAGTAAAAAAAGGAAAAATACAAATGTCCATCAACTCATGGAGAACAAAAAGTGGTCAATTGAAACAAGGAGCTATTACCCAGCTACGAAAAGGAATGAAGTACTGATACATGCTACAACGTGGAATCTTGAAAACATGATGCTAAGGAAACCAGACACAAAAGGACACATATCGTATGACCCTATTTATATGAAATATCCAGAACAGGCAAAGTTAGAGAAACAGAAATTAAGAGTTGCTAGGGGGAGAAAAAACTAGGAGTGCTTGCTAATGGGCATAGGGTTCTTTTGGGGGTTATGAAAATGCTCTAAAATTAGGTAATGGTGATATATGGATATATACATATATGCATATATATGTATGTTAATCACTACCATACAAGTATATGTTAGGCCGAATACTACTGAATTGTACACTTAGAAGGTAAATTTTTATGGTATGTGAATTATATCTAACAACAAAATCCATACAGATTTCAGTGGAGGGCAAGTCAGAGTTATGGTATACTGACACTTTCCTTCAGCAAATAAAATTAAAGTTCTTACTAAATGATTCTTCTTTAACAAATGTTAGCACCCAAAACAGTGCCTAGCACTTGGTAAATAGTAAATATCTGTTGAATCAATGATTACAAGCACAAATAAAGGGAAAGAAGCATGAGAAATTAGCATTAGCAAAGTTGAAAGATGTTTTAAAATTAGATCACGATTGAAGAAAGGCTACTCATTTGAACCATATAGAAGAGCAAGCATTTTTTTGGGAAAAAATGATTTAAAAAAAAAAACATTTTTCTGTATTGCTGATGTCCAGTTGGACAAATCCTATCTGAGGAAGTTCTGGGTTGTCTTTGTTCATTTTCTATCACTCATAGTCCCTCTAAAGATCTTCGACTTATTCCAGAAATCATGTAGACAGGCTCCTCCGTCTCTTAAACACTTCCCTCCCCCATAATCCCAGTGAGACTAAGTTCATTCCAATCCCTTGGTTAAGAGGTGGCTCATCAGAGTGACCAAAGAATAAGCAATCCTTCCCAAGGAAAGCAACTTTCCTTCCATGCCACTTCCTCTAAAATCACTAAGATAGAGGGAAAATCTGACCAGGTAAGGAAAGAAATCTGATTCTTGAGGCTAAGAACCAGCAGGTCCAGGATACAGGGAAATCCCAAGGGGAATTAACACCTGAGCACCTACTAAATTATACAAAGGCACAATCCATGCCCTCAAGGAGCCTGCAATCTAGTGGTGAAACAGAGATATAGTTGTTTTAATTATAAAGCCATGAAGTGCTAACAGAGATAGGAACAATTTGCCCTGAGAGAGTAATTCATTCATGACTAGGGAATGAAGGTTTCCGGCTTTGGGGCTTGGCTTTACACCTTATGATTCTAACAGGGTAAATAGAATCTGCACACCATGATCAATACGTGAAGTAAAACTCAACTAGAACGCACAGGGCATCAGATGTAGAGCAAGATGTGGCAGGGAAACGATCAGAATCAAATTGGGAAAGGGCTTAGTTCCACACCTAAGTACATTTCTAATTGCTGGTGGCAGAACAGGGCTTTTCTGGCAAAGCCAGAACCAGGAACCCACTTAAAGAGTTGCTGAAGCAGTTAAAACAGAATGAAAAGAATGGGGAGGATGCTGAGGAATAACTGGACATACAAAATAAAAATAAGGGTAAAAAAAATGATATTCACCCTTTCCAAGATTCAACAATTTATAGGACTTTTTAAAGATAGCCATGTAGTGCCCCCTGGTGGACAAGAGACCTTCCCACCTGTAAGGCACTAAGCTTCCACACACTAATATGCATTAATATGCTCCCCGTTGTTCTAGCCAGGTTGATACTGAAACTATCCAGACTCCTACTAATCAGCCTCTGCAGAAATCTCCACATCCAGATTACAAGGCACTATTCTAGTTGAATCTAGTTTGAGAAAAGACAGACCCCTGAACGCTTAACAAATGACGCCAAAAGGACTACCAAAGGAGGTAGTATAACACAGGAGCAAATGCTGAAGTAGTCAACACTGACTTGAGAATTCAGAATACAAAGCCATTTGAGAAATGGGGTAAGTCTTCATGAATATATAGAACACTCATTTCTTTAACCCAGGATTACTGAAGAGAGCACCTAGATCAGAGGCAATCGCAAAATCCTGTGAACAGAAGTGAGTGATGTAGCAGAATATAAAAAGGTTTCGGTATTTAGAAATCTTGTCTGCAATGAAGACTCGAGCAGGGCCTGGGGGGCTATGTAGCACCCAAGAATTTTAAGACCCATCTTATGTAAGAATATAAACTGGAAAAATCTGGTTATTAATTGACCAAGTACTAAACTTAAGGATACTAAATCAGTGAAAACCTATTAAGTCCTGATTAACAGTATGATTCAAAATGTTAGCTGAGCAGATGAAGTGGTCACCACATGGCTACACAAGTTAGCTTAAGCCCTGCTATTGTCAGCACACTGCTGCCTTTTCCCCTCATTTTTTGAGCTTACCTTGAGGTAAAAACAAGAAAAACTACCCAGACCCCAAGCTAAGACTCCAGTGCTGTTGGTGTGGGTAATTTATTTGCACGTAAGTTTAATCAGGAGTGCACACTGATACTCTACTAGATCACTCTCATCTGGCCATTCTTTCGCATCCCAGACTCATTCGGTGCACCTCTCAAATGCCAATCAGTCCCAACTAAACACACAATGTTCCTCTTGTAATTGTAACTCCTACTCCTTAACTGGTAAGTGAGAACTTCCCCTCCACAACACCAGCACTTCCACAAAGGAGAATTAACAGCCATCTGGGATCTAAGAGAAAATAGGAAAACAGATAAATAATCCTTACACCCAAAAGGCCAAACAAATTTTTATTTTCAAAAACAACTTTATTCATGACACATATTAAAAAAAAACCTCCCACCCCCTGGAAATGAGCTAAAAAAATAAACAAAATCCACCTCCCACCTCCCTGTTCCCACTTCCTCCCATTCCCTCCAAATAAAAGGGAAAAAAAGGCAAAGGAAAACAAAACAAAACAAAAAACTGAAAAACAAAAAAACGCCCCAAAACCCCCCAAAACAAGGTAGTGCATTTCCCCAAGGGGTAGGGGAATTTACACTGGAGCCGCTGGGAGCGGAACGGAGATCTTCCGGCTACAGAAACCTGCAAAGAAAGACACTCAAAACAGAAAAAGAAACACAAAAGGAAACGAAAGAGATCACCAGGCAATCTGGAGGGGCAGGGAGCCGGAAAAGAGGGGTGGGGTGGGTGGCAGACCTGGCAGGACAAGAGCAGGTGGAGGGGACTGTGAAAGTTAGGGAGAAGATGGAGGGAAGGTAACAAGCAGAACAGTTTGGTGTCCTTCCAGAGCCCTGGGTAAAAAAACCCCTCCTACCACCCATGCCCACCTACCCTTGAGCAGCCCCCAAGGGGGTGAAGTGGGACAGGGAAACAAGGGGAGCAGCTTGCGCAGTTGAGACGTGTCCATGGCGAATCCCCAGAGTGAATGAGCAACCCCCTGCCCCACTCCCTGGGCCTTCCCCTACTCCCCAAAGCAGGTCCCTCCTCAGCAGTTAGTTATGGGATTCTCCCCCCTTCCACAGTATATCTTTTTTTTTAAAAATATTTTTTTTTCCATCAAGGTCATCTTCTGTTTTTCTTTTTTTTTTTTTAATTCTTTTTTTTTTTTCCTTCTTTCCTCTTTTTTTCCTCTCTCTCCTCCTAATACACACTTTTTTTAGTAAGGGGAATACCATGATGTCGCTCTAGCCCGGCCCCTGGAAGAAAGAAGGAGAGTTAGGTGTTAACATGATCACTTAGGAGTTCAGCACAAGCCCCTCCCCGTGGGCCCTTGCCCCAGTTACAGTGCAGGGAATGGGGGCCAAAATATTTCCAAGTATCCTAAAACTGACCCCACAATCCCAGAAATTGTGACACACCTGGCAAATGGGAAGGGGCAATTTAATAGAATACCTTGCCAGAGGCAAAAAAACAAAAGTGTATCTGAGATAAAGGGGCAAGAAAATGGGACTCATTATTTTTCCAGTTTCAGTTCTTCACAGCTCTTAAACCCCAGGCCTTCACCATCAGATCCTCCCTAATTCCTGGGAGCAGATAAGTGAATCTTACGAAAAGCCAAGGTCTATATGCCTATTCTGTCTATTTAAAGGCAGGGAGAGGATAGTAAAGCAACATGGGCACCACTAGGCCCAGAGAGAAAAGTTAACCTTGCAAAACACTGGCTCAGTTAAAGAGTAAATATCTCAGTATCCTCCCACATGGCTGTTGAGGAGGATCAACTAGCCTCTGGCATTCTTCCAAGGGAGGTTCAATCTTCAACCCCTCCTTAACTCTGGGAAAAGTAGCAAATGTCCAAGCAGTGGCTTCACTACTCTGAGGCCGTTCTTCCTGGCCTGCTGTGTAAACACCTTCACTGCCACCAAGTCTCAAGGAAAAAAAAAGGCTGGGGGAAGAAGCATCTCTCAGAACAGAGTGGAGAGATCCAGCCCTTATCACCAATTCCTGCTCCAGAAAACGATGATGAGACTGGCCGCCTGGCCTGGCCTGCAACTACCTTCCTCACCCTGCACAGGCAGGAGACCAAGTCCCTGGAGACCAAGGGGAGGGTAAGTGAGGGAGGTTCCTCAGATCAGGAAAGAAGGAAACATATAGGGCTCATGGGAGGCGGGGAGAGGAGCAGCCCATCTATCCTGACCTGTAGACGCGACCCCGGGGCCTGCTGTTAAAACCACTGTAGAATCGAGAGCGGGAATTGTTGTAGTTGGTGGTCCGGGCACGGTATCGGGCTCGTGGGAAACCCCGGTCTGTTGTGCTGATGCCTGGTCTGTTGGTTCGTTTTGGGATCACCTGAGAGTGAGGGATGTACAGCAGAAAGCCTCAGAATAGGCCTGGAGAGTTTATACAGAACCAGAACAGCAATGGGCAATGGGGCTTACCTTGATCTGTCTTCCTCTAAATAGGGACTCATCTAAGGCCAAAGACGTCCTCACTGACTCTTTGTCTGAGAACTCTATATATGCAAACCTGAAAAAAATAATTTGTCATTTCATCTATCTGAAGTTACAAATAGCAGCTTATACGTCAAATCCAACTTGCAGGTACGCTCTGCTTGAGTAACAGCGTAGCCACATTTTTAATTCTTTGTCAACATTTTTTTAAATGGAAAACTTCAATCTAAATTTTCAGCTACTCTTGGAAAATTATAAAAGAGTTTACACTGGATTTCCATATAGCGGAACCAGCTGGGGCTAAGCAAAAGCTGCCCCTCCCTCTTCTAGTTCATGATCCCACCCACACTAACCTTCATCTTTATCTGTCTGGTCTCCCATTTATGTGTAACCCGATATATACACTAAAGCCCCAACTTGTAAGACGAACACCACATATTTTAACTTACTGCTCAATATAAAACATAATTTATCTATTTCTAAAACGTAATTAAAATGACCTCAATCTACTTCCCTACTTACCCTTTAGGATGGCCACTAAATTTGTCACAGAGTATGGTAACACGGTTGACTGAACCACAGCCATGAAAGTGTGCTTCCAGCTCTTCTGCTGTTGCACCATAGTCCACCTGTGGGGGAGTAGAGGTGGTCATGTTTCACAGGTACCCTGCCTAGCGTCTAGGCTGGGCCACCCATCCACCCCAAGACACATCAAATCTTGTTCTCTAAGAAACTAATCTTTTATCTTTCCAACCCCAAAGCCTCTGCGGATTACCATTACCTTTTACCTCCTCCAAACCCTCCCAATACTCCCCAAATTCATCACCTATCCTTGAGATGTTCCTTTTGAGCCTCCTATTAAGCAACTCCCAAAACAAGAGCTTCCCCAACCCCAATGAGGACCCTAATACATACATTGCCAACATAGATGGAACGGGCATCGGCCTCCATCTTCTCTTCAATGGACATGATCACTGGGCCAGCTTTGAAGAAAAAAAAGAATCAGGGGGTGAAAGCTGGTTTTCTATTTGACCAATTTTTGCACCACTACCACCACCACCACTAGAGTAAAGAAAAGATTTTAGTCTGTTCTGTTCCCTGCTGTACTCCTTAACAAGAATACTGTTTAGCACACAATAGGTACTCACTGAACATTTGACAAATCAAGCAACAGATTAACACACTCTTAAAAATCAGAGAAAATGGTACAGGAATTCCCTCCTGCCCCCAAATCAAGTCCCTATTGAAAAGCTTTGACTGAAATCATGTGAAAAGTGAACAAAATCAAGGGAACCCAAACTCAACATTTCTAGATTTATTAAAGGGAAAGCCCCCCCCCCCCGGCCCCCCTGCAGTCGAGCAGTTTCTCTTAGAACTCCTAACTAAAGGGTCTCCAACTAAAGGAAGAACTATGAGACTTGAAGGTCAAATGCCAGTTGGCAACCTCCACAAAGAGTAGAGGCAGACTAAAGAACAAAGAAGAACACATTTGTTAAAAGGACAAAGAAAGGCACAAGATCACCATCATTAAAATGTAGGTTTTTGCCTCGCTAAGGTCAGAAAAACACACAATGGACTATGACCGCACCACCTGCCCAGTAATTGCTCAGACAAGCAGCTCCAAGGTCCCTAGCATCCAATTCCACATAACCCGTGCTCGCACAACCCTTCCGAGGACCCGGGCTCCGCGTGCAACCGCCAGTTACTCACCATTGCCTGGAGGTGGACTCATATTCATCTGTTTCTCTACCTCGTTCTGTAGCTCCTTTAGCTTCTCAGCTTCTTCCTCCATCTCCCTGACTCGAGCTTTGATCGCTTCCAGCTCCTACAATGAGTGGAGAGGGTATGGAGAAGAGCTTAAGAGGAACCAACGCAGGGGCTCTGCCCTGCTCTCCGTCCGAGCGCGGCCCTAACCATGCTCGGCCATTTCCCTCGCCCCACATGCGGGTCCCGATGAAAAAAAAAAAAAAAGCAAGCTACCTTCTCTAGAACAACACTAGGCACCCATAACGCCCGAATAAAACCGGCTGGGCCCCTTCTGGCGGTCGAGGATCCGTTCCCGGCCCTGCCCCAGCCACGTTATTCCCCGCCCACCCCCACCCCCCGCCTGCCTCCCGCTCGCCCGAGCTCTGGGCCTCCCGTGACACGGCCGGGCCTGCTCGCTCGCCCTTCTTCCCTCACCGGGTCCTCAATGGCGCCGTCCCCCGGGTCACCCTCGACCAGTCCCGGCTCCTCCTCCTCCTCCTGGCTGCCGGGGGCTCCCGAGCCAGGCCCAGGGCCCGGAGCTCCCGGGGGGGCGCGGGGCCGGGGCGGCTCCTCTTCGGGCTCGGGCTCCGGCTCGGGCTCCAGCAGCAGCTCCTCAGGCTCCAGTTCCTCAGACTCCAGGCCGTTCCCGTAGTCCCCTGCGCCCCCCGGGGCCCCCTCCCCGGCCTCCCCACCGGCCCCGGGCACAAGATGGCGCCGCCGCCCCGGCCCGGAGCCCCGACCGCCCGCAGCCCCCGCTGCTGCTGCCGCCGCCGCCGCCGCCGCCATCGCCGCTCAGACTGGGGCCCGCCGCCCGGCGATTGGAGAACTGCGCCGGGCACGCCGAGGATTCATTAGTCTAGCAGCCTGCCCGTCACCACGAGCTAGGACTCCATTGGGGAATATTACTTGGCAGTCAAACAAGACCCCACCCCCAAGGCGGGATATTGCGGCAAATTCTCAAATCCCGGTAGGGGAACTGCCCTGTCAATCAACATACGTCCCACCTCCTCTCAAGTTCTTAGGTAACAATACCGCCACGCTGTGACGACATTCTTGCTTCCCCCACCGCCTCAAGGCGGGTCCGCGAAGCATGTGACGCTCGGTGATTGGCCGCTGGCTGGGCGAAGGGAGAGGGCCAATCTTCCGATCGCCTCGCCGTAATGGCCGTCTCAGATGCCCATTGGCTCGTGAGATTCGAAGGGCTAACACCCGTTTCATGACAGGTGAACCTTGCCCCGCAACGGACCGCCAGGCTTCCAGCAATGGAAACCCGAGGTCACATGACTAGTCCTCAGGGGCGCCGCCATCTTGACACTACTGGTTGCCAACTATAGAGCTGTTGGAAAGCGGAGGACAGAAACATTGAGGCGGTTTCTGGAAACTGGTTTGCTGACCAGGAGACGGACCAGTAGATGGAATGTTGCTGGAAATGGAGGTTCTGAATGGAGCTCTCCAGTAAGGACCTTACTTTTCTCATCGAAGTTATTGGTACCAACATCCATGGGGTCTCCCAAACTGGAAAGCGGGGAGAAATCCTTACTCCACAGCTACCAGTCTTGTCTGATTTGTCTTCCTTTCACAGGCATACTTTCCAAGCCCTCTGCTTATGCCGTTGTTTCAGCTTGTTTGTTGGTCTGTTTGCTACAGCTCCCTAACAGGTCTCTCAGATTACCGTGTCACTGTTCCACCGCTACCAGACAGCTGGCTCCCCTTTGCTGGCCAGGTAAAAGTAAAACTCTACCCTGGCCTTAGAGACCTCAGGACCAGGTTACTTCACAAATGTAATTTCTGCAGTCTTCATCCCAGGGGGTTTACCTGCATCCGGCTCTGTGCCTCTGTACACGCAGTCCCCTTTCAACCAGACCACTACAAACCTCGTCATCACCTCTGGTGCAAAACCTTCCGCGAGCCTCCTATCTCTTCCATGACAAGCAGGCCTACCTCCACTGTGCGCTTAATCATTTTGTCCTGCATTTGAGTTTGGAGATGAGAGGCTGGATCCTATTTACATTTGCAGCGCCACTGTGGGACAATATGCTTTGCACATAGTAGGTGTCAATAATGTTTGCATTGATTGAGATCTGGATGCCACCCTCATTCTTCAACACTTTCCCAGCCCTCAAACTCTCCTTCAGACAGCAGAGAAATTTCCCCTCTGAGATTACCTGTGGGACCTAGTCCTGGAAAACAGGGTTGCCATATTATAGTAGTGATATTACACATTTTTTAAAAAGGAAGGAACGACGGTGCTAAGTTTGCAAGAGGGTTATTTGTAGCCAGACCAAGCTAGGGCTTTACAGCCAGATTCAAATGAGCCCAACCAAATTAATTAGACAACCCCAACAGGATGTGTATGGCTGGGGTAGGGAGACTGACAAGAGGAGATCCCTGTCAGCCAACCAAAAGGTCATAAGCTTCTCAGTATACCCCACTCTTCCCCTCATCGTCACATTTTCTCGCAAATCCTTACCTCAGGAACAGGGGGATTCAAAGCAGAGTCATAGTCACTTAAAATTTCACTGAAAATTAATTCAGCAGCCATCTCAGCTCCGGTGGTCTGGGAGAACTAACTTGAGCATGGAAGACAAGCTCTGAAAGACTGGGGGGTTAATGGGGGAAAAAAGATTTTCTACTAATCCTAATCTAATCAAGATTTTTTGTTTTATTGGCACCTGGTTTAAACTAATCAAGCCAATCAAGGGAAATGGGCTTTTTTTCCCCAGTTCCTATTTTTATTGAGTACTTGATTTTGTAACATGCACAATCCTAGACTCATTATATTATCTCATTGAATTCTCACAACTCTATGAAGCAAATATTTCCAAAACTATAACCTTTTTTAGGGATGAAGAAAGAGTGAAGTAAACTGCTCAAGTCATGGAACTAATTAAAGGTGAGCAGAGGAGAAAAAAAAAAGTTAGCTGGGAACTCAGAGCTTTCAAAGCTTGGATCAAAATTATAAAAGGTCTGCTTTGATACACAAAGATTACATTATATATGATGTTGAAATTGGAAAAAAGACTAAATTCCAATAACAAATGATTAGGCAGACTCTAATTATATCTAAAGATTATGTACCTATTAAAAGGGATACATATAGCATGTAATAACATGCAAAAATAATTTTTGTTAGGCCAAAGAAGTAGAGTGTAAGATTGTATATGAAATATGATATAAGTGATATCTTATTTTTTAAAAAGATAACTTGGACATGGGGAGAAAAGGGAGCAAGAACCAGTTAGATCGTTTCTTTGGTAATATTTACTAAAAGATTCCAAACAGATGAGATTCTTAACCCAGTGATTGTATTTCTTACACTCTGCTCTCAAGAAATAATCTAAAAACTGGATAAACATTTGAGAATAAAGATATTCATCAAAGTGAAATGATGTAAGCAATTTGAATGTCCAAGTGGGCACATTCAGGAAAATTATTATATACACGTAGGTATAATTTTATACAGTCATTTTGCCTTCAAAATATTTTTAATGACAAGGAAAAACTGTGCAATAGAACTGTAAGCAGAATTGTAGTATAGAAAATTGTATATACAGGGGCGTCTGGGTGGCTCAATGAGTTAAGCCTCTGCCTTTGGCTCAGGTTGTGATCTCAGGGTCCTGGGATCGAGCCCCACATTGGGCTCTCTGCTTAGCAGGGAGCCTGTTTCCCCCCTCTCTTTGCCTGCCTCTCTGCCTACTTGTGATCTCTCTCTCTGTCAAGTGAATAAATAAAATCTTAAAAAAAAAAAATCAAAACTGTATATACAGTATGATCCTAAAATAGAAGCACAGATAGAAGGTGGGAAAGAAATATGCCAAAATGTTAACAGTGGTACTTTCTGAGTAGGATTATACTTAATTTATACTTTTCCATGTTCTATGATTTTCCACAATATATCATTTTTATTTAAAACTAACCTTCCAACTTCCAAACTCACTCTCATAAGCATGATTACTTTTAAAGACACATTTAAAAAGGTATTTGGAGACTTGTAAAGTAAGATACTTCCCTATTAGACTGTAAACTGCAAAAGGCAAGGACATCATCTTAATTATATTTGTATTCCCATTGCCCATCACCATGCCCAATAAACGCTAACTGAATAATCTTCCATAATAATTTTAATACCTTGCCCATTGTTGATTAACAGAAAACATCAAAGAAATAAGTTTCTAAGAATGAATTTGTAAGAAATTAGATGTAATGATGTGAAATTTACCCGTCATGAGTATAATTTTCCTTCAGTAATAACCTCTCAATAGAGACCATGGAGTTTCAGGAAAACTAAAACTCAGTGATGTTGTGCCCGAGGAGGAAAAACGTGTTAATGGAAGTGAATGGTTAGTGGACTTAAGAAAAGGAGAATTAAATCAGTAAAAAATGGATGAGGGCACCTCCAGTTCTGTCCAAAAGAAAAAGCCATCTCACTAAACTACATAAATACTTGGCTCCTTGGTAGTTTCAACCCTATTTTTAACTCTTGCTCTTTTTGCCTGCTATAATAATTCTCTATAATCTAGAACTACATTGTTTAATATGGTACCCACTCACCACACATGGTTTGAGCACTTGGAACATGAGTATTCTGACTTGAGATGCACTGGAAGTGTCAAATATACACTAAATTTCAAAGACTTAGTATGAAAAAGCAATAAAATAAATAAAATAAATTTATAAATTAATAGTGTAATATTTATTAATATTATAGTATTATATTATAAAGTAATGATGATGTATAATTTATAAATTAATAGCTGCAACATAAAATAAATAGCTGTAATATTAATTATAGACAGAAATTATAGTAATTTTTATATACTGGCCTAAGTAAAATATTATTAAAATTAGTTTCATACCTATTTCTCTTGCTTTTCTAAAGAGGCTACTAGAAAATATAAAACTACATATATGGCTTACATTATATTTCTGTTGGACAGTACTGATATGGAAGCTTAAAGCCTTGATCATTTACTCACCTTTCCTGTGGAGTAGACTCCAGTAATTTTCTTTGTTTTTTGAGGGGGCTGAGCCCAACGCGGGGCTTGAACTCACAACCCTAGATGGAGAACTGAGCTGAGATCAACAGTTGGATGCCCAACTGACTGAGCCACCCAGGTGCCCCAACTCCAATTATTTTCTAATGCAAAGTCTAGCCTTGCCTACCTTAACTCCCTAGGTCTGTCCTTGCAGGGAAGTGAGGTGTCCATTTAAATGAGAAAGAACCTCCATTGGGCTGCTTATTTTCCATTCTCCTTGGTTAACTTCTTAACAACTTTGTATCTGGAAAACTTGTTTTAACATACTGTACCAGAAGTATGTGTTCTTTACGAAAAGACCAGAAAATACTGACAGTAAAAAGAACAAAATAGGTGCGCCTGGGTGGCTCAGTGGGTTAAGCCTCTGCCTTCCGCTCAGGTCATGATCTCAGGGTCCTAGGATCCAGCCCCGCATCGGGTTCTCTGCTTGGTGGGAGCCTGCTTCCCTCTCTCTCTCTGCCTGCCTCTCTGCCTACTTGTGATCTGTCTGTCAAATAAATAAATAAAAGCTTTAAAAAAAAAAAAGAACAAAATAAAATCACCAGTAAAATCCAACACCCAGTGATAATCACTAGTGATATTTTGGCATATACCCTCCCTGAGATTTTCAATACATAAATACATATATAGTTCCGCATGTGCACACGTGTGTGCGCACACACACACATTTATATACTTATTTTAGCAAACTTGGATCATACTGTATATATTTTCTTTTCTTTTTTTTGACAAGTGAGAAACATCTTTCTGTA